TTTATAGATATGCTTTGCTTTGCTAACAGCTTGTCAATAAATTGCATCTTTGTTCTTGAGGGATATTGGTACTTTTCCTTTAATTTGTAATGCTCTTATCTGGTCATTCGATGTGGGGTTGGGGAGACTAGTGATAAACCAAAGAACTTATACACTTACGCATAGCCCATGGACACAGGCAATAGGGTAGTGAAGACCTGGGGTGTAGTAGAGACTGGGAGGAGGGGGGAAGAGGAGGAAATGGGAGATATCTGTAATACTATCAACAATAAAAATATATTAAAAATAAAATAAAAGGATTTCTGTTAGATTGCTTGTTGTAATCCCACAGATCATTGAATCTCTGCTCATTACCCAATCTTTTTTCTCATCATTGTTTAGTTTAAATATTTCTATTCATCTGTCTAGGTTCACTGATTCTTTCTTCTCAGTGAACTATCTCCTATTAATTCTATGTGATAAATTTTCATTTCAGACATAGTTTTTTGCTGTGGGATTTCCATTTGGTTCTTTTTTGGAAAAGAATTTCTATATTACTCTTAATTTCACCATTTCTTTCCTCTTTGTACCTACCTTCTCCTTGACAATCTTTACCATATTTGTTTGCTAGCCCCAACAAATAGGTAATCTGTGGGCCTGCTTTTATTAGCTGTTTTTCTTTCTTTTGACAATGGGTACACTCTTTTCCTGTGTGGTAACTTTTATTTTCTCTGAGTTTAAAACTTATTGGCCTGAAGTTCATTGTAAATTACTGGTAGAAGAACTCTTTCTTTGCTCTCATTTACACATTGAACAAGTCAAAGTGATTTTCAAAAGTTGTAAAACCTGGTTCTAATCCCATTTCTGCTATTTGTTAGCTCTGAGGTCTTGGACAAGTTACTTAACTTTTCTGAGCCTTAAAAAAATTTCTCATATTTATTTATTATGATTATTATTAATTTCTTCATATTTAAAATGAGAAAATTAGAATAGGTGTCTCTAGCTATATGATTTAGATATTTTATGATTGTAAGGTGTTTGGTGCTAGGACTCAAGCACAGCTACTGGGGAACAAATTTTTAATGCTTTCACCTCAGAGAGTTCTGCTGACTAAGTATCTTCTTTACCTCTGAGCAGTTTGCCTGGGTGAGTTCCTTTACTTATGCAGGCAGCCAACTGCAACTAACCCACCCACAAGGCCTTCATCTTTGTAGTCATTTTTTGTCCTCATATTTCTTCTTCAGGAGCAAGGTAACTTTGAATTAGAAAGAATATCTGTGCAGGCAGGTAAGCACGGATGGAGAACATCACACAGCAGAGAAAATTGGTGTCACCAGAAATTCATCATTAGTGGGAAATTTTGGTTCCACCTTGGACCTACTGAATTGAAAATGCAGGGAGTAGGGCTCAGCACTGCAGGCCCAAGTGATTCAGTGCATACTCAAGATTGAGAACCACTGGTTAGGGGGTGTATGGCCAAATAGAGCAGGAATATCACCCGCCTGCCTGGGGTGGGGGGCGGGAATACAACAGTGCAATCACATAGGGGCATTTTTTTCGCTTTTATTTTAAAAAATAAAAACTAGAGTCTATTTTGGTATTTGGAAAGTGGTCACTCAAAAGAGTGGGTGGCATTTCATTGGGTGATATTTAGGTTGTTTTGAGAAGTAGAGGATGAGGCAAGGACCACATGGCCCTAGGGGTCAGGGTAAGATTTTCTCCAGGTCATTTAAAACCAAGCAGCTTCTTTGGTCCTTTGAGGGCAGAAGCACCTCAAGAGAGCGGCCTTGCAATCACACTGACTTCTGTGTGGATGGAGGTTTGGTGTTGGATGTGTCCAGTAGGAGTTCAGGTGTGTTCCCCTAGGCCCTCATGGAGCCCACTGTCTCAGTTCCTGTGGTGGCCTGAGCTTGGTCAGCTAGTCCCAAGGTGGGGCTGGGCAAGTAGTCTTAGGAACAGTCCAGAAGGTTTGGCTGACCGATGTGAAGCACACAGCATGTGTTATCCTAGGAGCACAGCAGGACAAACAGTTTCCTTTCCAATCAAGGGGAAATGGAGGTATTTCTCTGGCTCAAGAAACTGTGGAGCCAACATCTATGGAGCAAATTCAAATATATGTAGATTAAAAGAGGAAGGAGGTGGGGAGGAGGAAAGCTGATTAACAGGGTAAGAAAGAGTCTTTGTTTGAGATGGTTTGAAACCACAATAGGTTAGTTAAAACAAGGAATGTAGTCTTGTCCAGAAGAGGAAGAACATACCCTCATATGTTTACTGGTTTCCTAGGGAGTACCGCACTTAAAATCGTATTGAGAACTTGTTGCTACCTGGTAGAACATTGCTTTCATTGAATCACTTGCTTGCTCAAGACCTCACTCCTGTCTGCCTGCCATGTGAAGACTGCTTTTTGCTACAACCTCAGGCCTGAGCTTTTTCCTATGGTTTTAAACATCCTTCCTTAATTGGTTCAATGCCACCTTTCTAAACTCATTTCTGAATTCCTATCAACACCACGCACTGCCTCCTTCAGGCAATCTCACATCTCCCAGCTCACACCACCCTCTTGTTAACTGTGGCCTGTTTGTCTTCTTAAAGTGCTTTTTTCTTCTTTAAACTAAACTGCCCATCTTCCGTGACCGCCATGGCTATGTCAGTCCACACTAGACTCTGTTTCCCTAACTCTGACATTTGTAGGCTCTACTACCTAGTTAGTGGCTACATGAATACTGTCTTGCATATTTACAGATTGGCTTTCTGTCTAACTGGTTTGTTCCATGGATGGAGGAAGCTTAGAGTCTACTTCCTCTGGGTTCTCCATAGGAGCTGACATAGGGCTGGTTGCAGGGAAAATGAAAGTAACACATCATTGTTGGGTAGACTAGAGAGTTCTTATGTTTAGGTATAGGTCAACTGGATCAGGGGTGCCAAGTGTGTTCCAAGGAACATAGCTGGGTACGCTTATCATCTGTCTACCAGATACATTGGGCGCACCTGCCTCAATGGCAACTGTTTCTTCTTGTTACAAGTGTTGTTCTAAGTTAAAGACAGCTGGCTGAAGCTCAGAGGCCTGGAGAATGAAAGTGGGTGTGGGCATATTTATTATTTTTGCTCTTTTAATTGTAATGCTTTTTCTACTTGGGGAATATATTAAAAGACATGAAGGATGGGCTAATTAAAACATGCTGAAAGGGAGGGAAGGAAGATACACCAAGAGAGGGGAGCTAAAGAGAGTGCAACTTTCCAAGGGGCCTGTTTTTCTCACTTGGCCATTTCTGGTCAGTTTGTTTGGGCCACAGCTGCTGCCCCTTATTGTTCTCTGTATTTTGCTGATGGTCTGTGGTGAATTTTCAGTTTATGAGAAGTGGTGCTAGATATTTCCCCCCAAATATGTGATGGCTGTAAAATGTCAAAAGGTTCTACTGATAGCATTGCCTCTCTTAGACATTAATGAAGTTGGATAAATAGATTTTACTAATATAGAGGGCACATGGGCAGATGGATAAGACACAAACCCAGCCCAATCTTAAAACTCTGGGTACCTCAGCAATTGTTACTCCTTCTCTGACAACTTTTGTGTGTGCACATCCACACACCCCTGTAAATCTCCTTTGTTCAACCAGACAAAATTGACAACCACTTTTAGTCACAAATGACTAGTCCTGCCCCTCACTACCTTTTGTATTGATGAAGTTTTTTTTAAAAGAAACTATATTACTTTTGCTATGCAAATAAAATATGATAAATTCATGAATATTAGAAATGTAGATAAAAAGAAAGCATTCAACTTGAAATTACATCATCCAGACATAACCACTCTTAACATTTTCCCAAATGCATCCAAGTCTTCCTTTTCCCGTGAGTGTATATATAGAAATAGACAAATTTTTAAGAGTGGTGTCACAATAAACATTGTTATCAAGTTTTTCACTAGATATATTTTATTTTATTTTTTCTAAAAATTTTAAATTACTTGACAGGATGATTTATTATAGCACAACTTATATATTTCAAACGGACAACAAATTAGTATCACTTACAGCATCTTAAGATAAACTGCCTTTGAACAGGAGCTTCCTTCCCAGTACTCTGATGTCTACAAGACGTATCTAGGAAGGTTACTACTGTGGAAAATGAAGACTGCTTAAATCGAATGGGGAGGGGTGGGCCTGTGGTTTTCTTTCTGATTAGTTGCTGTAACACTGTCCTTCAGGTGGCTGAGGGAGTGACATATTTTCACTAGTCATCATTAGGTGCTGAAGCTCGTGCAGGACATGTTTGATACTATATGCACGATTCCATTTCTCTAGCACTAATACGGCCTTTGGGTCCACCGCTCCATTAGAACTATTAACTCCATCCATATTAATTTTTGTTACAAATCTTACAACGGGGGGTACTTCAGGGTAGTTAGGTCCACATTCTATTTTAAGGCTGTATACGCGGTCTTCATAAACTGTTCTCGGAGGCCCAATTATCAGCGCTGTCCATCTTGTAAGTGTCATGTCTCTGTCATCTTCTACACCCCAACTAATTGTGCCATCTCCTCCCTTGTGGCCTTCTTCCAGTTCTTCCAACAGTTTAAAATAGCGATCCACTTTTACTCCCGAGCCCGTGCTGGCTGCCATCTTGCGTCGCTGTCGCTCGAAGGCCGGCCTTCACTTGAAGTTTGACCGTTCTGTGGATTGGACGTTTTTCTGGGCTCCAATCAAGGTATTGGCAGGGCTGTGATGTTTTCTGGAAGTTCTGAAGGCGAGACTATAACGGTTTGAGCTCCTCTTAGTTTCTACCGCTTCACTAGATATATTTTAATCATATTTTCACATCATTAATCTTTTACATCCTTTTTAATGGTTCATAATCATTCCTTTGTCTGGAGATACAATTTTCTATTAATTTATATTTAGGATTTTAAAACATTCTATAAATAAAGCTTCCATGAAATTGCTTTATACATATACATGTCTTGGGATACTAGTTGGATGATCTCCTTAGGATAAATCCTTATGAGCAGATTTACTAGGTCAGAGTATGCATTCTTTTCACATTTTTCCTGTATGTATTACAGGAAATTTGCTCTCTGTAAGTGTCCATTCCTAAGATTCGTGCCAATGATAGGCACTATTCCTGTCTTTAATCTGATAAATCTTACTGACTTGATATAAACTAGTGTTTTTATAGCAATAACAACTAGGTCCAACTGTACAGAGGAGCCCAAGAGAGAAAGCTGTGGATGGGCCTTAGCCCTGAAAACATTAGTGTAAACACCATAGAGCTGTGGGCAAATCAGTGTATGATTTTTGCTTTTGTGCCCTGAAGACAAGTTTTTCTATAGGACAGATCCTGGGCATAATGAAGCCACTGACTACATTTTCTTCACAGCCCAGTCTCCTTTCATTTTGTTTGCTTTTGTAGCAGCCCTTACAAATCAACTACGTGGAGCCTGTGGAAATATTAAGATGCACCTGACTACCTAGGAAGTCACAACCTTCCACATAGACCTCACCCAAGTTAACCTGGGCGAGGGCTGGGCGAGTGAGTCTCCTTGTCATGGGTCTCAGGAAGGTGACTGCTCTCTGTGAAGAGCTAGTAAACCAGCTCTTCAAGGGGAAACGTAAGTGCTGACTTGTGCGTTTGCTAATTTCCATGGTGTAAATATTCACACATGACAGATTTCAAACTACCAACTGTTTAATAACTGGCTCACTACATTCCTGATGAGTTAACAATCAGCTCTTTGGTCAAGATAGTGGTTGCTGCCGAAACCGGTTTGGCTCAGTAGACAGAGTGTCAGCCTGCGGACTGAAAGGTCCCAGGTTCGATTCCGGTCAAGGGCATGTACCTTGGTTGCGGGCACATCCCCAGTAGGAGATGTGCAGGAGGCTGCTGATCGATGTTTCTCTCTCATCGATGTTTCTAACTCTCTATCTCTCTCCCTTCCTCTCTGTAAAAAATCAATAAAATATATTTTAAAAAAAGATAGTGGTTGCTTTTACAACATATTTTTTAAAATATATTTTTATTAATTTCAGAAAGGAAGGGAGATGGGGAGAGAGAGAGAAAAATCAATGATGAGAAAGAATCATTGATCAGCTGCCTCCTGCACACCCCACACTAGGGATGGGGCTTGCAAAGCAGGCATGTGCCCTGACTGGGAATCAGACCGTGACCTCCTGGTTCATAGGTCGATGCTCAATCACTGAGCCATGCCTGCTGGGCTAGAATCTTTTTTTAAAAGCTGGTGTTCAGAGACTACACCTGTCTTAACTGTTTATTGTGATGGGCACACCGGAGGAATTGCTTCTCAATATTACACACACATTAGGCACCACATGAATTCATTTTGTCAGCCTGGCAATAGACAACGAATACCATTGTAATTTAAGGTAAAGTTATCTCTTCTGTACTTCATGGTGCATGACACTGGGCTATAACTCAATGCTCATGAGAGGTTTCACGCAGGCACATAGTTCTTTGTTGAGAAAAATTTGGATCCTGCCTCTGGGAACCGTGGCCTTTTTTTGAGAAAGAGAGTATATTTTGGAACCTTTAATTTTCACAGTAGTTGGTCAGTTCTGATAGCTGGCATCAGGTAACGAAAGAATAGGGAACTCTTTCTATCTATCAATGCAGACAATATGAAAGAAAATGTGTATGAGGCCATGCACACCTATTCTTTTCTTGCTCACAGTGTCTTAAGGTTTAGTGGGCATCTGAATCACTGTGGGAGTTTCAAAAGTGTAAGTACACTTCCCAGCTCCCTCCTTCCAATATTCTGATTTAGTAGGTCTGGGTTGGTCCAAGAATCTACATTTTATCAGCAGTTCAGCTGAATGTGATGCAGATTTTCAGGGTGAGTGGGGGGACGCTTGGGGAGGCGCTGGTCTTGGCTCCTCTGACTCTCACTCTTATAATAAGATTGGTCATCAGACATGAGTGAATATGTTCAGACTGGTAAGATCCCCATTCCTGGGCCACAAATCAATGTTCTATGCCCCTGGCTTTAATCAAAGACCAATACATGAACCAGCCACACAAAGTAAATGCATGTTTTCCCTCTTGTTTAGATTTAATAATAATTTCTATTGGAATTTAATTTTCATGGAAAAAACTTTATTATCTAAATAGGGAACCATCACATTTTTTGTTCAGTTTTAAGATGCTCAGAGTAAACTTAATGTTCTTTAATTTATTGATTTTTAGAGAGAGAAAGGAAAGGAGAGAGAGGAGAGGGAGAAAGAAAGAAAGAGAAACAGAGAGATGGAGAGGGAGAGAGAGAGAGAAACATCAATTTGTTGTTCCATTTATTTATGCATTCATTGCTTGATTCTTATATGTGCCCTCACTGGGGATTGAACCCATAACTGGGATGATGCTCTAACCAACTGACCTAACCAGCCGGGGCCAGAGTAAAAGTAATTTAATGTTCAATAACAATACTTGTCTAACCCTGGTTTCTGGCATAATTATGATTGCCTTTTTCTCCATAGTTTCTAATGTCTCAGCTTTTATTTTAAGGTGCCTTAAATCCTTGTTGGAAGTACACACTATATAACAAAGTAAAAAATAGATAAAACATAGAGAGACCTGTTAGTTATCATTATACTGCCAAGGGACATAGTTCATCTCTTGGTACATCCAAAGCCATGGAAAAAGCAAAAGGACTTCATAAAGTTTTCCCATACCACTTCTGTCTTTTAACCTCAAGTTCCCTTTTTTTCATTAGCAAACACTGACTAAATCTTCCATAAAGCCACCATCAGAGCTACAGACAGAATGTTCATATTCCCCCAAATTCACAGGTTGAAGCTTTAATCCCCAATGTGATGGTATTTGGGGATGGGACATTTGGGAGGCAATTAGGTTAGGTCCCAAAGGTGGGCTAGATGGGGCTAGAAGGAGGGTTAGAAGGAGGGTTGGACTAGACCATGAGACTGGGGCCCTCATGACACAGTTAGTGGCCTTATAAGAAGAGAAGAGAGGTCACCTGAGGACACAGCGAGAAGG